TGATGTATATTTTTTTTTTTTATATATATCATGATAAATACATTCTGTAATGTAAATATCATTTTTGTAATTGTTCTAAAAAGATTTCCATTTCGTGGAAATGTAAACTTTTTATTTTTAGGAGGGAGGTGTTACGTATCTAGGCATTGTTACCTAGATACTATTTTTTTTCTCTTGACCTGTAGGTTGTCTGCCCCTTGTGTAATAAGTTTTTTTTTTATTTTTCACGGTGAGTCAAGCCACACAGACAGTGACCGGTCCTTGACCTATGTGTGTACCTCTGGTTGAAAGGAGGGTGTTTTTTTTTTTTTTTCTTTTCTTCTGTCTCTTTGAAGAGCGTTCTAGATCTGGGTGTTGATGCCTTTCTGTTCTAGAAATTACTAGATATCGACGCGCGGTAGATTATATAAAGACCGCTCGCGTAACGTTGACGGACAGACATACGGAGACAGCCGTGAGACAGAATAGCGGAGACATTGCGTGACCCGTGCGTGGTATACCAATTGATCGTGTAAGTTAAGATTTTTCTTTTTTCAAGGCCTTGCTTGTATTTGTAATTATATTTTCAAACTCTTGTAAAGTAATATTTTTACATGCCATTTTTGTAAAAGGGTTTTGGTCAACCCTTCCATTTTGTATTGAGTTATATTATGATTAAACATTAAGTTGATATTTTACCTTCCGATTTCTTGTGTCATTTTTTTGTTATTCATTGTAAGTCTCTGATTAAATTCAGACTTAAGATAAGTGACACAACTACCTTTTTCTATTGTCACGTTCCCCTAGGCAAGCCATTTAAAAGTAGAATTCAATTTGTAATACGTGACAATACAAATATTTTCTATGTTATCACAGAAATATTTATGTTTTCTAACTACTGCTAAGAGTATTGGTCAACCTGTTTAATGTTTTGCTTATAAATCAAAATTACTTATATTACCATATTATAAAAGACATTTAAAAGAAATCAAATAACTGAGTACAGAATTGAATCCTTGCATTATTTTACTTATAATTTGCATTCTTGGGGAGGTTAATTTATTTTCGTAACTCTCTAAATCTCTCTATTGGATTGACCATGTTCTGTTTAAATACCATTATGTCATGAACCATAAATATGTTTGTATATTCTATTTGCAGACAAAGCTTGCAGTTGGTGGTGTGATGTGCTTTACTATTGTTGCTCCCATGTTCTGGATAATGGCCAATATCAAGCACTACAAAAATCCTGAAGGTGTCTCTTCCTAAGTAGAGACATTTTCTAGTGACCAGTGCTGCAAGGACAAGGAAGAATGAGATATCGTTATCACCTGAGTTATAAATTATTACTTTGTTGAATGATTTGAAATAGTTTATGTGACATTTTCAACACATAAATAGATACGATTTTTACTTAACTAAACTGTCTTCATTTTTTTCTCTGTACATAAGTACTTTAGTGTTAGAGTTATTTGCAATTAAATTAGAAGTTAGATTTTCTCTGGATTATATTGATGCCTACATCTATGTATTTCAAAGAAACATTTATTAGACAAAGCAATAAACAAAAATTGCTACTAGGAAATATAATTAATACAAATTAAATTGAGCTAAAATTTTGTAGTAATCTGGCTTAAAAAAACCTCATTGTTTCAGAGAAGACTTGCATAATCAGTTTCTTGAAAATATATTTTATCTACATTTTGAAACAGTACAGTACCTACATATATTTATTTTTTAATTCTAGTACTGACTTGTATGGTCAAGTTTAATTTCTCACTCATGTATGCCAACATACAAAGCAAGGTATAAAGTGATTTGGTGGGCTTCATTTTTTTTTACACACTCATAGGCATCCCCTCTGGGTCTATTGTTTGGTATGCAATGCTGGTGAAAGGGGTAGGTTTTGCTATTTTATAATACCACTAAACATGTAGCCGAAATTAAATAAATAAATAGTGTATCTTTATTTAAGATAAGATAATTTTATTGATCCAATCAAATGGAAATTCAGTTACATAGTGATTTTCATTTTTGAAAAACAAATATGTCACTGGTGACCTATTAAAGTAGTGATTCTTAATATCAAGAACTAATAGCTCTCTGGGTTAACAAAAAGTTATAGGAGGAAGCTTTTGTCTGTGGAAGGGTACATCAGAAACTGTGAACAACTGCCAATGATCCTTGTCTTCCTCTGTACATTTAAAACATTTGCCTTGATCCCATCCTATACAGAACTTGTGAAATGTTGACAGGAGGGTCTGCTTGGTGAATCAGGGAACATAAACATTTGCCAATGAAACAAAGTTTAGTTCCTACAAAAGACTAAAACCTACTGCACCATTAAACACACTACAGAAAATTGTAAAAAAAAGGATTTTAATAGTGTTAAGGTTTTGATTTTTTAATTTGACAAGCTGTACAAAACTAAATTGCAGCTTCTTTGAAGGACAATTGACATATATGTGTTCTTTGTCTAGTTATTATTTCTATATAACTTATATCAATACAGTCAATGTTCTAGTAGTTTCTTAACCAGTTGGTGGTGTTGCAGTGTTGAAATGGCTGTCATGATGTCATTACTAGTAGCTTAATTTCTCACAGCATTTTGTTATCCATTACTTCAAATCCCTTTGAACCTTGAGTAGCAACCATTTCAAACCAGTGTATCAATAATTACAAGCCAGTTCCCTTTGTTGAGCAACTTCATCACCATACAAGAATTGGCTTGGGAGTTCTGTCCCTTTCAGAGTTTGCATCATCAGCCATTATTTCTCTTTGCTGCAAGTGCAATTAACATATCTTTAAACCTCCAAAAAATAGGATGTGAGCTAAATTTCAGCAGCTTGTATTTGATAAAATATGGTATATCTTCTTCAAAGTTGTGTAATGTACTAACACCCTTAAGAAGTTTTCTCAAATTTTTTTGTTATATAAATCATACATACAAATATTATACATTATATATGTATGTATGACATTTGTTTCAGCACCTAGCTTCAACTCTGTTATATAAATCAAAGTAGGCTTAGATTCTATTTATTCAAATGACATCATAACTTAAGTTGCTAAATAATTCACTTCAACAACTCTTTTATTAGTCTAGAAAAATGTATTTGTCCAAAGTATTCTTTCTTAAATTAATATGAGAGAATACTTTAAAAAGAGTACAGCAGTGATAGAGCAACATACATAGTGCTAATATACAAGGCTTAATATCAATGTTGGCATTTTCAACAAATGTTTAGCCAAATCTTACATTTTTATGACTATGCTCATAATAAATGATTCTAAGCAGAATAGAATTGGCTACCAAGTAAATAGTACGAGTTATGGTTTGAAATGTATCATCTCACATGAGACAAAAAAAAAACTCAGTTGGCTAAAGCTAAGAAAATTTTTAAAAAATGGAATAATTAAAATAGTATAAAAATAATTGCATGAGATAGCAGACAATAATTTGCAATGTGATATTGTACACTTTCATAGAACAGTAAGAAATGTGCTTGTTATGCCCGATGCCATAAAAAAAAAAAAAATCATCTACCCACTATGTAATGGTGCATTTATGTCTACAAATTATACAGTCGCATTTGTATATAACCTTCGGCTACATCATATTCATGTCATTCAAACATATTCCTAAATAACAAAAGATTTCGTTTAATTTACAAAAATGCTTACCTACAAAAGAATTGGTTGCAAATGTTTTCGTAAATATTTCATTGCAATAATTTTAGTTACACTCTAATAAACTGGTAAATAAAAAAATATTTTAATTGCCAGATTGGGCCTCAGGCAGTTTCAAAGAAAAATGTAACCAGTTTTATAATTTCTTATTGAAATACTTGCATGAAAAACACTTAAGTGGATATATTTTTTTATTGAAAATTTATAAATGGAAAACTTACAATTTAAAACCACTTTATGCCCTATCCATATAACTTGAGCAAACAGTTGAGGCAACATCAGACTTAACTTTGGTACCTCTGCCATCATCACAATGAAAACTTGGTGTGCCACTTATTTATGTCAATCACAAAACAAGCACTCAGCATGTCATTTCAGAGTGGTAATTGGTTGCTAAGTATGAGTAGCTTGGTGGGTTAGAGATTAAGTGGGAGAGTATAATGACAATAGAAGATACATAATTTGTTTTTCAACCCTGAGATATTTCACAGTTGGAATGTTTGCATAATCAGTAACAAGGGAAAAAAAAAAGTAACATTACAGTCAAATAATTCAATACTATTGAGGAACTATCTTTACTATTACAATATATCTAAAACATCTTTGAAATAATCAACTGTATAAGCTACAGAAACAAAGAATCAACAAATGAATGTATTTAACACTGCCTATGTTTTGTTTTTCAACAAGTACCAGTTTGAAAAGAAAAAAAAATTGGGAGAATCTTTAGATCAAAGAATAAAAATATCTTTATAAAAGTAGATGCAGAAAAATATCACTCAGTATTACATCACAGTTCCACATAAGAAATTTTTAAACATATATTTTTTTGTCTGTATATAGGAAAAACCTCATCACAACATGGAATATAAGTAATGGGCTGTTTTATTCATAAGGACAAGAGTTCTGTTGTCCAAGCCAAACTGCAAAGTCCAGATCTACCAAAGCATCAACATTTGTCTAACTGGCCAAGAGAGTTGGATGCACTTTGTTTTGACAATCATTGTCATGTTACAATATAACTTCACATTATATAAATATTTTTCTAAGACCTAATAGATTTCAAATTGTAATCATTACATCCCAGCTCAAACCTCCTGCAGGGGATGACAATGGGCAGGGTTTGAACAAAAGACCACTGAGATGACAGCCTTGAGCACTTCCCCCCCATGACCAGGGAGTACACAAGATAAATGTAGTGGTTCCATTGTTTCATTCCTATTTTTTTCCAGGCTAACATTAGAAGTACAGCTTTTACTTTTTAACTAATCCATACATCAGGTTAAAGGCTGAAGTCTAAGCTATAAATTAAAAAATTGTGCATAGGAACCACTGTAAATCTTTTTTTTTTTTTTGTTGAAATAAACAAGTGAAACAATTGTCTATTTAATTGTTAGTAATCAATTGAGTATCAGATAAAAGCAAGTTAACATGGGTGAGAAAATATTTATTGAATTCTAAACTATTGACAAGCTTTCATATTGAGAGTGATAATAATAGTTCACTGTCTTCTATTCATTAACCAATGAAGAAAGGCTTCTTAAAGAAGTGTCTAAAAGTTAATTTTTGTATATCTTGTCTCTCTCTATATGTATATGTATCACAAGCGCTGTACAAAACTACATCTCACAGAGATATGTTACATTGCTTGTCATTTGAACTTAGGAACTTCTTTTTTTTTTTTAATAATTACTTTCTTTTATCAACTTTGATACAATTATCTAGCACTAGATTCTTAAAAATTGAAACATTTTTTACCATTGAGCAGAACAGAATTTTGAAATGATATCTCTTGATTCACTTATAACAAACATTATGCATGAAAATCTTATATCAACAGTGGCAAAAAATGAACACAATATTGCCTGTTGTGTTCCAAAGTACTACTGCTATGTTTATGCCAACTAAAGACTTTTTGTGATGTCATAAGTAAAAAAAAAAAAGTAAAACAAAAATGTGGTACAGATATAAAAATATACACTGGAATTATACATGAAAATAAACTTAATTAGAATTAAGCAGAAGTGAGAATAATGTCTTCATTTCTAATATCAAAAAATTTGTTAGGTGTATAAACAAAAACAAGTTAAAAACATTCGTAAAATTATAAAAGTGTCAAGTTAATAAGATCTAAATAAAGAATAAAAAAAAATTAACATTAATATAAGTCAAAAATGATACACACAAAAAATTATGGCTATTGCTTGAAATATTTTTAATCGCACTGTAAACAAAAAGTTGAATTAAAAAAAGGAATTTATTGAAATGAAACAAAAAAAAAGGATAATGCTTTCACAACCCTCATTGTAAACAATTTGAAAAAGTCACTGTGTCAGCATTTCACAAAGTCATGGAGTCAACATTTCACAAAGTCACGGTGTCAACATTTCACAAAGTCATGACGTTAACATTTCACAAAGTCACGGTGTCAACATTTCACAAAGTCACGGTGTCAACATTTCACAAAATCTTTGCATCAGGTTCATCTTATGCTGGCTTCTCTTTTCTAAATGACAAGGACTTGAGAAGGCTGTTTGACCGTTTGCGTCCTGGCATTGGTTGACCCTGGTGCAGAACCAACTCAATCTCAACATTGTTGCCCACAGGCACCCACTTGGGAACTCCTTCTGTATCTAAACAAACAACAAAATGATTTTTTAATTAAATTTAGCCACTTATTTTTTTATTTTTTGTAAAATGTTGAAGATAATTTACATGCTAGTCCAAACCTCCCGCAGGATGACAAGGGATGGCAGTGGGAACCCAGGAATATTAAGATGATCGAATCACGGTCCAGCAAGCCATCGACAAGTTAATTATAAACAAGACAGAGACAAAGATTTAAAAAGTCAAGGGCTACATTGATGCATAAACATACTAACTCAAGAACTGGATCTTGCTAAATGAAATGACAATAACCCAGCAGTTAATAAAGTAGCTCAGGATACTAACTGCCAAGAAGAAAAAAACTAGTCTAAAGATACTAGCAGTAAAATCTTAGAAAACAAAAGATCTTAAGATGAAGTCTAAATGTCCAAAGGATTAGCAGTCAGACAAAAAACAACTTGGCTAAAGAGGTTGATGTCAGACAAGAAAAAACTTTGCTAAAAGAGATTGAGGTCAGACAAGAAACAACTTGGCTGAAAGAAGTTGAGGTCAGACAAGAAACAACTTGGCTAAAGAGGAAGAATGAATGTGAACATTGTCATCTTACCTGCAAGAAGTGACCTGAGAGAGACACTTTTGGTTGTGACATGCTCCTTCCTGGAGTGTTTCAAAGTAAAGATAAGGCAAGCCTCCATTGGGATTCCAGATCCTTTATCAACCTGCCAGTTCAAAACAGTTCAGTTTCAAAAGTCTTATGAGTAACATTTTATAATTGGTAGTTCACTGAATTAGAATCAGAGCCATTTGCTAGGATCATATTAGTTATACAGTTAAAAAACAAAAGCACAGCCTACTTCAAATTCCAAATCCAAGCTTGGAGAGTGGTCATTTAAAGGAACAACATGAGACTTGCCAATTAGTCTTGTATTATGAAATAAACTCAAACGGTTGCCAGGGCTGAAAGGTTAAAAAAAATAAAATTATACAATAACAGTAGAAAAATAATAACCAATGGTAGCAAAAGTTGAATAAATTAAAAATGGCAGTTATCAAGTCAAACTATTCCACAACTTATAGACTTTGTACAGGGGATTTATGTTTTAGGTGAAGTGTGTTAACCCTTGGAGCAATTATTTCATTGAATTGAGTTGGAAGAAATGGAACTCTATTAAAATTACATTCAACACTGCGCTTCTTCAGTGTGTTACTATACAGGCACTTCCAAACCTTTAAATTCTATGTTTTGTTTGAGAGACCAAAAGTCTGATAGTGTGAACAACTTTTTTAATTGTCAAAAAAAAAATGTGGCTCGGAAATCAGTGAATTCTAATCTTTTGCTTGTTATATCCAACAATTAGAAACTAAGACATTAAAAAACAAAGACTTACACTTCAAGACGCACTTTGCAGTAAATTTCTGTCGCTGTATTTGGGAAATTACCACGAACTCGAAGAATTTTCCCAGTGACACTAAACAATTTGTCACTCACAGAGGCTGAACTATCTGCAAGAAGAAATCAAAACCTCACGCAATGAAATCGAGAACAAGAAATATTTGTTTTAAAAATATACAAACATTTAAAGTGCATCATTATAATTATAATTCCATCATTCACATTATGTCATTATATACTGGGGGGGGATTATCATCACAGCTATTTAATTTTGTAAGCAGATCCTAAGTGACTTGGTTTTTCAATAAACCTGGATTATCAAAAATTATAGAAATTTTTTTGGTTGACAATCATATGTTTGTAATACATCAAGCAATGTACCGCATACATTTTAAATGTGCATTATTCTAGACCTAGTGTTTGTTACAAATCTTGTTCAGAATTATAGTCTTTGCAAGTATTACCATAATTAACGAATATACAAAATGTATGATCTAATAATCAAATTTATTAATACCTATTTTTTTTTTTAAAGAATGTCTTCATTTAATAAGAAAATGTCACCTATCACCATGACAACCAGTTTCCAAATTTTGAACTTATTCTATTTGGAATAAAAATATGAAGCTTAGATTTAAAAAAAAAAATATCATTGACTACATTTCAGTACCAGTATTTCTAAACATGCATGTGAACGATTTGACAAACAAAATATTAGTAGCACAGAGCAGCAATTTTCAAATGTGCCATGCAAATAAGGTTAGGTAAAAGTGAATAGAAAAAGAAAATGACCTTGCAAGAATAAACAAATGTAAAAAATATAAAAAAAAAAACTGAAATTATTGCTAAAAAATACAGTTACAAAAATTCTATGAAGACACAAGTAGGTTTGTAGAAACAATGAAACAAATGTATCATCAACTTTGTGAAGTTCTATTATGGATGGAATGGATGGCTGCCTGGTCGTGCGGTTTGCGCGCTGGACTGTCGTTCGGATTTATCGACGGTCGAGGGTTCAAACCCTACCCGCTCCCATCCCCCGCCGTCCTGCGGGAGGTTTGGACTAGGAAGTAAACTATCTTCAACTCTGAAGGAACATCCGAAACATGTAAAACAAAAAACAAACAAACAACATTTATTACACATACAATACAAATTGTTGACTTTACAAGCCCCTGCGAACATTACTGTCACAGGATATGAAGCATAAAGACCTAGTCAAAATGACTTAAAAAGTCTTGCATATCATAGGGTCTCAAACCCTGCAATAAACCCATCTAGCAGAAAGATGAAGTTATTCAAATGATTCGACTGGTTGATAATAGGAAGATATTTTTTTAAATCAGATATTACAATGGACAGTGCTAAATCTAGTACGGGTTCTGTTTTAGTGGTTCTTGAATGAAATGAGATTTTTTCTTTTTTTTTTAACATTAGTACAACACTTTATACTGATGATAATAAAACTAATCTAGACACTGTGAACATCTTTGCCTCAAGTGAATATTATTCCCCTGATTTGCAGTGCTATTTGGCTGAAGGAATAGAGATGAGCTTCTAGTATCAAGTGTAGAAGAGTGGAGGAGTGGAGCAATACATTTCCTCTCGGAGTTAGAATTTCCAACCCAACTACAACAATCATGTCGCTGGTGAGGAGGACGAGGGGGGGGGGGGTGAGAGATCTATCTGGTTAAAAAAAAAAACATCTTAAAAATAATCACATTTGTGAAAATTGAATCTAACTTGTCACCATCTTGGTTTCTTGAGTTTGAGTTTAGGCACATCGGCACAATTTAGGGGCCATGTCGTGCCCATAATCCTTTAAGGATCACTCTCCCTTTATATAACAAGGGCTAAATTCTATACAGTTAAATCATTAAAAACAAGGTCTATTCACAGTTAAAATAGTAAAGGTAGTAAAAATTTAATAATTTGGTAAAAATCTAATGTAAATATTGTATGTTCACAATTGAAAAATCAGATCCTCCTAGACAACCCCACCTCCCGGACAAAGCCCAGTACCTTTCCAAGGTCAACATTGTCAAATAGTGTTATTAAGTTGTGTGCTCTAAAAAATTTCTCCCTGACATCTTGGTTTCTTCATGCAATACGAAATAAAAGGAAAGCAAAAACTATTGGACTTATACTGACATTAAATTATATACATTTTTAATAGTTCAGTTGTGAATGGACCTTTAATAACTTAATTATATGACATTTAGCACTTGAGCTACAAAGGGGAAGTAACCCTTCAGGAATCATGGGCACAACATGGCCTAAATTGTACCAAGAGAATCTTTTTGGTCAAGTTCAGAATTTTTTTTCCGTTTATTAGAGGTGGGACTTGAAAGGTGTGTGCCATCAACAAATATATATGTGTTTTATTTATGTAAGTATGCTTTAGTGTCTACTTAGGTAAATGTATATGTAACATAGTTACAATAGTTTGAAAAATGTCAAGGACATTACCAAATTCCAGCACTAACATACATAGAGACAGAACACATTCAAAGAAGAAAATTACAAAGTAAAAACTGAATGCAACTAACATAAACTGAGTGCTCAAATCAAGCCATGATTTTGAAAAAAAAAAAAAAAAAAAGCATTAATTAATTAAATTTTCAGATGCACCTTAAGTTGAAAAAAAAGTGCCTTTAATTTCTTACTTACGCCTGCGAAACCTTAGTTTAACTAAACAATGGTTGTGAAAAGTTTAACTAAACAATGGTTGTGAAAAGTTTAACTAAACATTGGCTGTGAAAAGTTTAATTAAACAATGGTTGTGAAAAGCTTTACTAAACAATGGTTTGTGAAAAGCTTTACTAAACAATAGTTGTCTAAATAAAAATTGCTGAAAAGTTGCTCAATATAAATACAACAATTTGTAGGGATTCTATTAATGAAACAAATAATATTTTAGGTCGGGACAGTATATACATAAAAACACATCAAAGTGATGATAGGCAATACTGATTCTTTCAAATATAAAATGTGCCATCTCAATTCTGAGTCATTAAAGTTAGTAATAACATTAGTGCAAGTACCATAAATTGTCAAGTGAATAAAGCACAAACAAATGTCTAGGGGGAAAATAAAGCACATAAGGGTATCATATCTATAAATAGAAATGCTCAACCAATTTGTTAATAACTATATAAAATATTTGTTGTGTTTTGTTTCGTTCTCACCTGAGAATGTTTTTAAATTCATTTGAGAGTTATGATACCTCTCTAGGGAAACAAATATTAATTTAATGATAATGTATTCCTTCTGAGCCTTAAAGTATATCTGAAAATGTAAATCTTATGTGACATAGTATATTGCTTGAGTGACATGACAATATATAGCGTCTATGAGATGACTATGTATATTTTTTGTGA